GTGGATCAAATCAACCTACCCAAATTGACAATTTCCCAAACAATCTAAACGCACTTATTACTATTTAGGAAGTTCAGCATATGATCAAAAATTTGGTGAATAATAAATCATCAAGCCCGGATAGTTTATTCATCTGAATTTTATAAAATGACACAAAACTATAATTTATTAACAAAAATCGCTACAAACATTAGGGAAGGGGACCATATTTGCCTACAGGATTACAAGCATATATAATTTGAATAGCAAAAAGGATAATGACCCAACTTTGGCAGGCTTTTACAGGCTCATTCCACTTATAAATGTAGATGTAAAGATTCTTTCAAATAGTGTGGCTTCCTACTTAGCAGAGATTATCCCTACTACAATACGTCACGCACAGGCAGGATTTGTAAAAGGACAATCAGCATCGTTGAATATTTGAAAAATTATACTAGCTCTTGAAAATGCCAAATCCTTTCCAGATACCGATACAGCTATTATTACACTAGATGCTGGAAAAGCATTTGATAATGTTAATTTAAAATGGCTTTTTATGGTAATGAATAAAATGGCTTTGCGGGCTTCATTTTAATCTTGTCAGCAATATGTACTCCTCCCCTACAGCTTGTTTAATCAGTTCAGGACATACTGTATATCAGACAATATCCCTTTATCCATTCTTTTAGTAATGCCTATGTTGAAGGTTAGACCCAAAAAAAATGTAAATTTGAAAACCGTAATGAGTTTCCATGCGAATGGTCTGGCAAGGTTTGAATTTGGGTTGGCGGTTGATAAATTGTTGTGCATATAAATTGCTTTGATCCACAATCAACGGATACAGATATTCTGTGAAAAACAGCTCCAAAAATCAAGGAGGTATGTGAAAGACCAAGATGTACTAGACCGCTGGTACTCGCCAGTTCACCAAAAGGTAGAGCGGCACTAGTACTGGCACTCTGCTGCATATGAGAGTCATCAAAATTTACCGGCAAGTACTAACAGAGATCAGGCCTGATTCTGCCAACACTGCGGTTTTGTGTGCAATGTATCAAGTGACAGTGACCTACTGGCACTGCACTTGCTGGGGAAGAAGGGGAGGGTAAGCGTAGGGGCTAAACACAGGTGCTGGCAGGTGCCGGGGCTGATCCCGCTAACGCTGCATTTTTGGGGACGCTATACTAATGTGAACACTGGTATAGTGCTGATCTGATCAAAGATATTGACCCGTTCAGACACTATACTAGCAATGGAGGTTTATTGTACATGAGCGTGCTCCTGGCAATCAAGGGGTTAAATGTGATGACTGATGGGCAATCTGATGCTATCTGGGAAGGGCGTGAAAACCATGGGGAGCACAAATCATGTATATATATATATATATATATGTATATATATATATATATATATATGATTTTGCGCACCCATGCCGCCCTGTAGCAATATGTCTGCTATAGGCTGGTCAGGAAGCGGTTACAGAATAGGTTTGTGTTACGGCGCTGCATTACTTTAACTGACAATTGCGCGGGTCATGCAACACTGCACCCAAATTACATTTACGTCCTTTTTTTCCCACAAATTGAGCTTTCATTCGGTGGGATTTGATCGCCTGTGCGTTTTTCATTTTTTGCGCTATAAAAAAAAAAGTCTGACAATTTTGAAAAAAAACAAACAATATTTTGGACTTTTTGCTATATAAAACACGTCCAGTAAAAAAATGTAAAAATAAAATTTCATCATACATTTCGGCCAAAATGCATTCTGCAACATGTCTTTGCTAAAAAAAAAAACAATACGTGTAAATTAATTGGTTTACGTGAAAGTTATAGCGTTTACAAATGGCGGGAAAGATACTGGGATTTTTAATTTTTATTTATACTAATAATGGCGGCGATCAGCGACTTATGGTGGCGATCAGCGACTTATGGCAGGACTGCGGCGGACATTCTGACACTGGGGGGGAACTGACTTGGGGTCACTGACATCCCCAGTGACACCAATACAGTGATCAGTGCAATTAAAAAAATACTGACACTGTACTAATGGCACTGGGGAGGAAGGTGTTAACATTTTTATTCAATGACAGGGTTAACTGTGTGAGGGGAGTGTTTTACTAGGGGGCAAGGGGGTGTACTGCAGGGAGACATGCTGATCCGGACAGATAAACTCTTCTGTCCCGATCAGCTTGTCAGGAGCTGACAGGGAACTGACAAAGAGCAGAGCTGTGTGTAAACAATGCAGCCCTGCTCTGTCAGTGTTTGCCGCTAATCGCCGGGAAACGGCCGGTAATGACTGACTGTGACCCGGCGACTGACATCCGCAGCGCGATTGGTGACACAGGTAGGGTGGTGGCACAGCCGTGCCGCCCTGCAAACGTTTTAATGTAGTGGCTGGTCTTAAAGTGGTTAATTGTCGCTATCAGTGACAGGAACTTTGCATTTTATTTGACTTTAGCGCTGCACTTTTCTGTTTCATAATATAGATATCCAGTATGATATTTTTCCCCTTTGAGATCTGATGTGTTTTCAAAGTGTTCCTTTAGTTTTTTTGAGCAGTGTATATTCCAGATAAAGAACTAAATAGTACCCTTTGTTTTACAAAATGCTCACAGTTCTCAATATGTGGAAATATTGGTTACCTGGGATTTCATGTTATTACATCTAGTTTTTAGGAGCAGGAATAACATCCATACATAGAGGGTTATATTTTATATGTGGATATAAAGCTTACGCCTGGATTCCTATTAATGTTACAGGTACATGTTATATTGGGAAGTTATTACCTGCACTACCAGGTCAAATTCCAGAATACCCTTTTAGTGTTCAAAAGAGAACTGTTCACTGAAGGTGACATGGCATGGTTTTGGTTCCCTTCCTGGACAGGATGGGTAATTGAAGTAATAAACAATTACACTAGAATTTGATGAGATTATTAACCTTACTACCAGTGATTTAAGTGTATTAAATGAAGAAATAGCTTAGCTTAGAAAATAAGTATTAGAGCATAAATTAACGCAAACTTATCTCACTGCCGCTCAAGGAGGGATATGTAAGGTTATCCACACTGACTGTTGTATATACATTTCTGATAATGAGAACATTATTAAAGGTCATCTTGCTAGGATAAGAGAACTACAGAATAAGGTCAGAGATATTGCTAAAGATAAATGGAACCCCTTTAAGGAATTAGGAGTTTTTGCATGGTATAGCAACATGGTTACAGAAATTAGGTGCTCACATTGTGATGTTTCTACTTCTCATACATGTTATTTACTTCCTCATCAGACTATGCTCTGTGTGATTAGCCACTGTACCAGCAGATGGTCCACCATCCCTGATGAACCCATTATTTTAAGGAAAATGGGAGAGAGCGGAACAGGACGCCATCTCTCTGCGCCAATGTACCAAGAGCTGCCAGCAATCAGCTGAATGTAATGTGGACAAGAATGGTGTTATATAAACAAAGATGGGAAGTGACATTGACTTTCACTGTATTGTTCATTTAAGCACAAGATACTCCATCTTGCTTGCAATGCTGAAATGTGCCCTGTGCCCCTCACTTAAAACACAGACGCAACAGACCTAGATGTTCTCTCTCTCTCTCCCCGTCCCTTCTTGAGGTTTTAGTTTCGCAACTGTTAGGCATAGTCTATGACATATGAAATGTGACATTATTCTATTTGCTAATTTTTAATAACATCTCACACCACACCCCCTTAAATAAAATGTAATAATACATTTTCTCAGAATGGATACTTTAAACCACAGTGATTGTGTTCTGTGAATCTGTTCCTGCAATTACAGTTTTACTCTTTTATTTTCAGTGTCTCAGCCAGAAATCTTCCAAACCATTACCGAGCTGGGGTATGACTCAAGGCACTGTTTTGTAACCTTATTTTTTCTTACAAAACATTAAAAAGAATGTAAAAAAAAAAACACACTAGAAACATTTTTGTGCATGTCCCTTCAAATAATTTCGGACAAAAGCTGTGTACGAACAATCAGATTATCGCATGATCGCTTCGAAAGCGGCATTTTACGTACAATTTCCTGATCGTGTGTACTAGTCTTAAGAGTACTGCAATGAATGAGTACAAGGAGTAATGCCTAAACAAATTCACTACTTCACATTCTACAAAGAAAACATATCTAGGAAACAGATACAATTGTGGCCAAAATATTGACACCCCTGCATTTCTGTCAGATAATGCACAACTTTGCCCAGAAAATTGTTGCAATTACAAATGTTTAGGCGTTCTCATGTTTCTTTGTTTTGTTTGTATTGGTTTGACACAAAAAAGTAGAGAAAAAAAAGCCAAATCTGACACATTCCATGCAAAACTCCAAAAATGGACTGGACAAAATTATTGACACCCTCAATTTAATATACGGTAACACACACCTTGGAAAAAATAACTGAAATCAATTGCTTCCTGGAACCATCAATGAGTTTCTCTACTGGAATTTTGGACCACTCTTCTTTCTCCAAATGCTCCCGATCTCTCAAATTGGAAGGGTTCCTATTCCCAAGTGCTGTTTTAAGATCTGTCCACAGGTGCTCTATGAGATTGAGATCTAGACCCAACTTTCTGACACTGGGCCCTACATTGCACCCCATAATTCTTTGGTAGTCTTCAGATTTCATAATATCCAGTGCCTGAAGCAGCAAAGCAACCCCAAAACATTAGTGAACCTCCACCATGTTTGATTGTAGGAACTTTATACTTTTCTTTAACCACTAGCCTACAGGGCACTTATCCCCCCTTCCTGCCCAGGTCAATTTCCAGCTTTCAGCACTGTCACATTTTGAATGACAATTGCGCGGTCATGCAACACTGTACCCATATGAAATTTTTATAATTTTTTTTGTGACAGATAGAGCTTTATTTTGGTGGTATTTAATCACCTCTGAGTTTTTTATTTTTGCTAAACAAACCAAAAACTACTGAAAATTTTGAAAAAAAAAAATTTTTTCTTAGTTTTTGTTATACAATTTTGTACATTAGTGATTTTTCTCCTTCACTGATGTGCGCTAATAAGGCTGCAGTGATGGGCACTGATAGGCTGCACTGATGGACACTGATAGGTGGCACTGATGGGCATTGATGAGGAGGCACTGGTAGGTGGCACTGATCGGCATTGACAGGCATCACTGATGGGCACTGAAAGGCAGCACTGATATATGGCACCGATAAGCGACACTGACTGGCACTGTCTTGCACTGTTAGGTGGCACTGATAGGCAGCACTGACAGGCGGCACTGATGCACACTGATAGGCGCTGATTGGCAGCACTGATAGGTGGGCACTGACTGGCACTGATGGGTGACACTGAAAGGCAGTTCAGATGGGCGCTGATATGTGGCATTGATGTGCACTGGTAGGCACTGATGTGTGGCAATGATGTGGCACTGATGGGCACTGGCATGTGGCATGGATGAGTACTGAGAGCTGGCACTGATGGACACTGACAAGTGGCACTGCTGGAGCTACACAGAACATCAGGGCACACTGATCATCAGTGCCCTGATGATCAGTGCACATGTCCCCTCCGAGGAATGCCGATTACCGGCTATCCTCTCCTCACGAGCTGTCAGCGTGGCAGCTCGTGAGGAGAGAAATGCCAATAACCGGCATTTCCCTGTTTACATGCGATCAACTGTGATTGGACACAGCTGATCACATGACCGAGCCGACATCTTCGGTTCTTTCCATGGATCGGTGATCCGCTGTGTCTGAGGGACACAGCGCACCGCCGATCGCAGAGCTGCACACTCCCGGAGCCACGCATGCGCGGTGAGAATGGGAGGACGTCATATGATGCCCTCCCAGAACGAGATAACCGCCTTGCGCCCGTCATTGGACTATATGGCGGGAGGCGGTTAAAGGCATCATTGCATTTTTCTGAAAACAGTAGAATGATGGGCTTTACCAAAAAGCTTTGTTTCGTCTGTCCCCGTCACATTCTCCCAAAAATTTGGCTTCCTCAAGTAAGTTTTGGCAAACTGCAATCTGGCTTTTTTTGTGTTTCTTTGTCAGTAGTGGGGTCCTCCTGGGTTTCCTACCATAGCGTCCTTTTTCATTCAGATGGTGACGTATAGTGCAAGCTGAAACAGTTGTACTGTGTGCATGAAGGTCAGCTTGAATTTGGCTGGAAGTTGATTGAGGTTCTTTAGCCACCATTCGAACAATCCTTCTTTGCAATCTTCAATAAAGTTTTCTCTTTCCACCATGTCCAGGGAGATTAACAACAGTGCCACGGGCTGTAAACCTTTTGACAAGGTTGCACACAGTGGATCCAGGAATATTAAGATATCTGGAGATGGACTTGTAACCTTGATATGCTCCATGCATTTCCACAATTTTAGTTTTCAAATCTTCAGGCAATTCTTTGATACTTTTTATCTTCTCCATGCTCCATACATGCTCCTCACAGAGACACACAACACAAAGTTTGAGTTAATTTTTCACCATTTCAACTGGTTGCTGTGTGATTTATGCATTGTCAGTACCTGTTACAGGTGAGTTTAATTACAAATTACAGGAGCATCACAAACTTGGAATGCACTTATTTCTTACAATTTTGAGAAGGTGCTAATTTTGTCCAGTCAATTTTTGAAGTTTTGCGAGGAATGCATCAGTTTTGGCTTTTTGTTTCTCTGTCATACCAATAAAAACAAAAGAAATAAACATGAGAATGCCTAATCATTTGTAATTGCAACAATTTTCTGGGCAAAGTGGTGCATTTTCTGACAGAAATTCAGGGGTGCCAATATTTTTGGCCATCACTGCATATTTAGGTCTTTTACCAAGACAACGATAGAGACTCTTCAAATGTACTGGCACTATTTCATGACAAATATAACCAACCTTGCCAAGGCTTGAATTTTTGCTGCATGTCGCTCTTCCTGTTCTGCCATTTTCCTCCTCAGGTTGTCAATTTCCAACCTTAGTATTGAAGAATGTTCCATCTCAGAATCAAGCAGGTTTCTCAGTGATCTGGAAAAAAGAAAGAACCATCAGTTTGAAAGAGAGATAAAGATGTTAAAACACACATACATACTTCTACAAACAGTGGATATAAAAAGTCTACACACCCCTGTTAAAATGTCAGTTTTCTGTGGTGTAAATAAATTAGACAAAAATAAAGTATTTCACAACATTTTCCACCTTTAATGTGACCTTTAAGCTGTACAACTCAATTGAAAAACAAACTGCAATCTTTTAGGGGGGGGAGTAAACATAAAAAAATAAAATTATGTGGTTGCATATGTGTGCACACCCTCTTATAACTGGGGATGTAGCTGTGTTCAGAATTGAGCAATCACATTCAAAAGCATGTTAAATAGGGATCAGTACACACCTGCCATCATTTAAAGTGCCTCTGATTAATCCCAAATAAAGTTCAGCGGTTCTAGTGGGTTTTTTCTGACATTTTCTTAGTTGCATCCTACAGCAAAAGTCATGGTCCGCAGAGAGTTTCCAAAGCATCAGAGGGATCTCATTGTTAAAAGGTATCAGTTAGGAGAAGGGTACAAAAGAATTTCCAAAGCATTAGATATACCATGGAACACAGTGAAGACAGTCATCAAGTGGAGAGATATGAAGCAACAGTGGCATTACCAAGAACTGGACGTCCCTCCAAAATTGATGAAAAGACAAGAAGAAAACTGGTCTGGGAGGCTGCCAAGAGGCCTACAGAAACATTAAAGGAGCTGCTGGAATATCTGGTATTACTGGCTGTGTGGTACATGTTACAACAATCTCCTGTATTCTTCATATGTCTGGGCTATGGGGTAGAGTGGCAAGATGGAACCCTTTTTATACAAAGAAAAACATGCAAGCTCGGCTAAATTTTGCAAAAACACATCTGAAGTATCCCAAATGCATGTGGGAAAATGTGTTATGGTCTGATAAAACCAATGTTGAATGTTTTGGCCATAATTCCAAAAGATATGTTTTGCGCAAAAAGAACACTGCTCATCACCAGAAAAATACCATACCCACAGTGAAGCATGTTGGTGGCAACATCATGCTTTGGGGCTGTTTTTCTTCAGCTGGAACTGGGACCTTAGTCAAGGAAGAGGGAATTATGAATAGTTCCAAATACCAGTCAATATTGGCACAAAACCTACAGGCTAGAAAGCTGGACAAGAAGAGGAACTTCATATCTCAGCATGACAACAACCCAAAGCATACATCCAAATCAACAAAAGAATGGCTTCACCAGAAGAGGATTAAAGTTTTGGAATGGCCCAACCAGAGCCCAGACCTGAATCTGATCAAAAATCTGTGGGGTGATCTGAAGAGAGCTGTGCACAGGAGATTCCCTCGCAATCTGACAGATTTGGAGTGTTTTTGTAAGGAAGAGTGGGCAAATATTGCCAAGTCAAGATGTGCCATGAATCATACCCAAAAAGAGTGCTGTAATAAAATCAAAAGGTACTTCAACAAAGTATTAGTTTAAGGGTGTGCACACTTATGCAACCATATTATTTTAGTTTTTTATTTTTACTTCCCTCCACCTAAAAGATTTCAGTTTGTTGTTCAACTGAGTTGTACAGTTTACAGGTTACATTAAAGGTGGAAAAATGTTGAAATTATTTATCATTGTCTAATTTTTTTACATCACAGAAACCTGACATTTTATTAGGGTTGTGTAGACTTTTTATATCCACTATACACACACACACACACCAACTGGTCTGTCTAGAAACATATTCACACAAGAATCACATACAGTAAGAATCATAGGTAAGAGTTGTGCAATCTTGTGTGAAAAAAAATATAAACTGAACAGAAAAATAAACCAGATTCTATATAAACATAAAATATGTTTGTACCCAAAGCTAAGCAGTCAATGCAATCCCATCAGCTGTTTTTTAGAATTTGGTCAAAGAACAGAAGTTTTGGTCGCAAACATATTAAGAAGTCTTCACTCAGTAACTAGTCAATCCATGAAAGTCAAATGAACGCCAACCAGCCTTAGAGCAGGGATGATTTTAGTAAAAAGGCCTTGCAACTCAAGGGACAGACAGGGAAAATCACAACTACCAAAGTAAAAAAGTGCTAATTATTATTATACAGGATTTATATAGCGCCAATAGTTTGCTCAGCGCTTTACAATATAACGGGAGACAATACAGCAACAATACAGTTCAATACAAGAGGGTTAGGAGGGCCTTGCTCCTTGGAGCTTACAATCTAAGAGGGAGGGGCTAGTGGTACAAAAGGTAGTAACTGTGGGGGATGGACTGGTAGGAGGAGTAGCAGATTCCATTATTAGCTGAGGGCAGGATAGGCTTCCCTGAAGAGATAGGTAGGCGAGAGTAGGCGATAATCTGATAAATTGGGGAGGGTAGAGAGTTCCAGAGGATGGGGGAAGCTCTGGAGAAGTCCTGGAGACAAGCATGGGAGGAGGAGACAAGGCAGCTAGAGAGCAGGAGTTCGTTCGAGGAGCAGAGTACAGTTTGGGTGATATTTGGAGACAAGATTGGTGATGTATTTTTGGGGCAGAGTTATAAATGGCTTTATATGTTATTGTTAATGTTTTGAATGTTATCCGTTGGGCAATGGGAAGCCAGTGGAGGGATTGGCAGAGAGGGGTGGCAGACATGGAATGGTTTGCTAAGGTGCATGAGCTGGCAGCAGCATTCATGATAGACTGAAGAAGGGATAGCCTGTGATGAGGTAGGCCAATGAGGAGGGAGTTACAAGGTGACAGATAACAAGGGAGTGAATAAGTTACTGAGTAGTTTCTGAGGTTAAAAACAGCCATATCTTGGAGATGTTGCGGAGGTGAAGTCTGCATGATTTGGACAGCGATTGGATTTGGGGCTGAAAGGACAGATGGGAGTCTAGGATTACACCTAGTACCCTGGCATGAGGGGAGGGACTGATGGTTGTGTTATTGATCTTGATAGAGAAGTCAGGAGAGGGGGCATGGGCTGGAGGGAATACTATGAGCTCAGTTTTGGAAAGATTGAGTTTGAGGAAGTGGAGTGACATCCATGCCGATATATCACTTAGTAGGTTAGTAATGCGAGAGGAGACTGAAGAGGTGAGGTGAGGAGTAGAAAGATAGATTTGTGTGTCATCAGCATAGAAATGGTACTTAAAGCCATGGGAGCTTACCAAGTGACTAAGGGAGGAGGTGTAGATGGAGAAGAGAAAAGGCCCAAGGACAGAACCTTGAGGGACCCCTACAGAAAGAGGGAGTGGAGAGGAGGAGCAAGAGTTATTCAGTCAGGTCCATAAACATTGGGACATCGACACAATTCTAACATTTTTGGCACTATACACCACCACAATGGATTTGAAATGAAACAAACAAGATGTGCTTTAACTGCAGACTGTCAGCTTTAATTTACATCCAAATCAGGTGAACGGTGTAGGAATTACAACAGTTTGCATATATGTCTCCCACTTGTTAAGGGACCAAAAGTAATGGGACAATTGGCTTCTCAGCTGTTCCATGGCCAGGTGTGTGTAATTCCCTCATTATCCCAATTACAATGAGCAGATAAAAGGTCCAGAGTTCATTTCAAGTGTGCTATTTGCATTTGGAATCTGTTGCTGTCAACTCTCAAGATGAGATCCAAAGAGCTGTCACTATCAGTGAAGCAAGCCATCATTAGGCTGAAAAAAACAAACCCATCAGAGAGATAGCAAAAGCATTAGGCATGGCAAAAACAACTGTTTGGAACATTCTTAAAAAGAAGGAACTCACCAGTGAGCTCAGCAACACCAAAAGACCCGGAAGACCACGGAAAACAACTGTGGTGAATGACCGAAGAATTCTTTCCCTGGTGAAGAAAACACCCTTCACAACAGTTGGCCAGATCAAGAACACTCTCCAGGAGGTAGGTGTATGTGTGTCAAAGTCACCAATCAAGAGAAGACTTCACCAGAGTGAATACAGAGGGTTCACCACAAGATGTAAACCATTGGTGAGCCTCAAAAACAGGAAGGCCAGATTAGAGTTTGCCAAACGACATCTAAAAAAGCCTTCACAGTTCTGGAACAACATCCTATGGACAGATGAGACCAAGATCAACTTGTACCAGAGTGATGGGAAGAGAAGAGTATGGAGAAGGAAAGGAACTGCTCATGATCCTAAACATACCACCTCATCAGTGAAGCATGGTGGTGGTAGTGTCATGGCGTGGGCATGTATGGCTGACAATGGAACTGGTTCTCTCTTGTATTTATTGATTATGTGACTGCTGACAAAAGCAGCAGGATGAATTCTGAAGTGTTTCGGGCAATATTATCTGCTCATATTCACCCAAATGCTTCAGAACTCATTGGACGCAGTGCAGAAGGACAATGACCCAAAGCATACTGCAAAAGCAACCAAAGAGTTTTTTAAGGGAACGAAGTAGAATGTTATGCAATGGCCAAGTCAATCACCTGACCTGAATCCGATTGAGCATGCATTTCACTTGCTGAAGACAAAACTGAAGGGAAAATGCCCCAAGAACAAGCAGGAACTGAAGACAGTTGCAGTAGAGGCCTGACAGAGCATCACCAGGGATGAAACCCAGCCTCTGGTGATGTCTATGCGTTCCAGACTTCAGGCTGTAATTGACTGCAAAGGATTTGCAACCAAGTATTAAAAAGTGAAAGTTTGATTTGTGATTATTATTCTGTCCCATTACTTTTGGTCCCTTAACAAGTGGGAGGCACATATGCAAACTGTTGTAATTCCTACAACGTTCACCTGATTTGGATGTAAATACCCTCAAATTAAAGCTGACAGTCTGCAGTTAAAGCCCATCTTGTTCGTTTCATTTCAATTCCATTGTGGTGGTGTATAGAGCCAAAAATGTTAGAATTGTGTTGATGTCCCAATATTTATGGACCTGACTGTAAGTAACTCTGAAGGAGCGCTGTGATAGGTAGGAGGAAAACCAGGAGAGAGCAGAGTCTTGCAGGCCAAGAGAGTGAAGGGGATGGTCAACAGTATCAAAACTATTGCACTTAGAAGCACTAGTAGAAGTAAACACATATCAGCAACCAAACATACACTATTAGAAGAAGTCCATGCCATGGCCATTGGTGACGATGAAGATTAAGTGAAAAGAAGACAATTGAAGATTGATCATAACATGCAAGTATGGCAGTAAGTGGCATCTTTATTGCTTAGGTGATGCTTATGTGGCTCTGACAACTTTCAGGTTGTGACAATGTACAATGAAGATGGCATTTCTTGCCATCATGTGAGAGGGAAATACTGTATAGTTACTGGCACTTTTAATAAACAAAGAGTGTAACTTCATATCTTGTTTAATAAAAAATCAAATACTATAGCAAAAATCAATATGCATATGACATTCGGACAATTAACAGTAAGTGTTGCATACTAAGAAACCTCTAATGGGTCAAGAAAGGGCCTTGAAGCCAAGTGAGCATGTTTTGTTCCAAGTGGGTTGGCAGGGGTTCCATTAACATTTATATTTGCAGAGAATCAGGTTCCGGTGTATCTGCCGCAGCAATCTGACAGGAAGTGGGAGCAAGCAACTGTCAAAACCAGGTACCCGCTGGAGGAGGAGGAGGAAAAGTAGACCTTCCCCTTTTGGGTGAAGTTCCACTTTAAAATATATTTAATTTTGTAGATTTTTAAAAACAAACTGAAGGAAATAATAGAATACACACTTTTGTCCCCAGTTCAACCAGTGGTCATTTTAATCATTTTCATTCTCCAATATTTCTAGTACAAATCCTTGCAGTTATTTTATGAAGAAAATGAAAACAAAAAGGAATGAAATGGCAAAAAGTAAGATGAGCAGGGCAAGGACTGAGTTATTGAGGGGTAATTAAATTAGAAAAAAAGGGTTTAATAAAAGGTTATGTATTAGAGATTAAATTTGTTTCTGCTTTCAGGGCCCATTCACACCAGTGTTGCATCAGCTTGCGTTGTTTTCAGCTGTAATGTGTAGGGCACCACAATGCATGAAAGGCAAGTCGTGCTGCATACGTTGTGCAATGTGCAATGCCGTATATTGTATTACTGTATTAGTGCAGCTCCTGCCCATTCAGTATGAATAGGAATGCAGTGAACAACACTACACAGTATGTGTATTCTTACTATTTAAGTGTAGTGCAGCTGTATAGAACAATTGTACAACCGAAACTTATCAAAAGTGTTACTAAACCCAGTACAGTAAAATCAGTCTGCATATGCAGTAAAGGTGGATCCCTTCGAGAATGTGCGTGTGCACAAAACACGTGCTGATGTCACGCTGCCTTGTCCATGTGATGGTCCGGCTGCCATCTTTGTAAGTGCTTTTTATCCATTGATCATATACTACACTATATGATACTGTCTCCGGGCTCGGTCTATGAGCTTGCCCTCTAGGAGTAATCCCTTTCCTTGGTTCACCGTGGGCTGGAGATGGAGACTTGGCTACTCTACTTTTGATTGTTCATTTGGTGTATCACTGGCTTCTGGAGAGATCCCACTTCAACCGGGTCACCAGCAGGAGGAACAAGCAGGAACACCCCCTAGTGTCATTCTGCTCTGGGCTTGCTTGCTTGCTACTTACTTCTGGTGAGTGCATTATGGTGGAGGTGCAGTGCGGAAGTCACAGAAGTCACTACATTTTGTTGATTTGATCACATCACTATTTTTAGGACTATTATGATATTTAAAGGACTTATTTATTTTCATTTGTGATTTGTTATACCGTCCATTTTGTTTCTTCATTGGAGTATTCACTATTCTCTATTTCTTTTTTATGATGTTTCCTTTCCCTTTTACGATCATACTGGTCATCGATTATAACACACATTTTTATTAGCACTGCACATTGATATTATAATGCTTGTTATAGTAACTGTGGAACCTAAGGGTTTACTCCTCTGCATTGTGTAAAATTCGGTTTTATCCAGACTTCTCTGATCCTCCCCTTCTTCCATTGTCCCCCTCTTATCTCCTGATAAGACAGATCGTGTGGAGACACTCTGCACATGCTCAGTTTAGTGTGTATTGCTAGAGAGGTTTTTTTTTTTCCTTGGGAGAGTTCATTTGATCAGCACAGGGCCAATCAGCACTGTCCAGAAAGAGGTCAGGGGTTCTGCATCCTCCTAGAACAGAAAGAAAACTTCTCCTACAAGCTTTAATCAGTGCTCTGCTGAAAAGAAGACAATTGACAAATCACAAGACTGCTCTAACTGCTGATGAGAAAATGTTTTTTTGCAGTTTATGTTTACTAAAATAATTGCATTTCCATGTTCTGTGTACTGTGGTAGACCAGATAGAGTTATGCAGGGTACTGGCTTTAGTAACACTTTAATATACTATACACAAACACTGGCCAATTTTACACCAAGACCCTTACTTCAAATGACTTTACCACAACAACCCACGTTTTCGTACAGGAAAGTTCCCAGCTTAAAAGGGAAAATAGCACCTAGCAAACTTAAAACTAGGACAAAGAACACAGTTCCTCTCACCCTTTTCCCTATTGTTGATATGTATCAGTGCAAAAAAAAAACCTTATGTAAGACATGCCAGTTTATTCATCATAGACAAAAGAAGTTCACTGTCAAAGGGATATCATATCAGATTAAGAAAGTTTACACACGCTCTTCTGAATACATGATCTATTGTCTAATTTGTTCTTGTGGTCTGAACTATGTGGGTAGAACCACACCAGGGGCGGACTGACAACTCATGGGGCCCCAGGGCAATAGGGCAACATGGGGCCCCTGTGTCCTCGCCCACACCCAAAAAAAAGCCTATGAAAAAGCCAATGAAAGGTACCAGGGGCATCTCATGGGGCCCCCTACTGACCCCGCGGGCCCTCGGGCAGTGCTCGAAGGAATGCCACGGGACCTATATCTGGCAGAGAGCTTTTTGCATCTCTGTCAGAGGGAAACTTTTTGGATCTCTGTCAGAGGGAAACTTTTTGGATCACACCTTGGATATGTTATCCCCTGGTGGCCTAAATGAAGAGCTTGAAATAAGCTCCATTTTATAGAGAAATTTGCTTCCTTCCAAATGGTGGTTATAAACAACCGCACAATATTCTATTTGTACTTTATCAATAATAGTCCGTTCCTACAACAAATTTAGGTGTATCCCTTCCGTATCCCTCTCTAATTTAAATACGATCCCTTTTAGTACACCACAAAGGGATAATAAAGAGATACACAAAATTCACATACTATTATAGCAAGCCCATTTATCCAAAATGCGCTCTTTTAATTTTGCTTTTATTATTATTTATTTTTATCCATTTTTAATTATGGTACAATAATCTACCTTTTTCATTATCTTATTAATTTATTCATTATTATTGTTTATTTTCACCGCCATTTTTCTATTCTAATTTTTTTCATAATTCATTTTATTGCCATTTTCTATTTCCCTTCTATCTAATATGACTTTTTTTAAGATATATGTTATTATATGTATACATACACACAAGTATACTTTTTAACTCAATAGCATTAGAGCTATTCTCTCGTGTGTATTTATATCTGTATTAATTCCTGTACAATGCATGTACTGTAGGTCCTTAAGACCCAGGAACTACTTGCCTCCCCCATTCTCTTCGCACTGTAAAATTGTCAGCATTCTATTGGGGCTCAGGTCTGAAGAAAGAGCCTACTGAGCATGCTCCTAAACGCATTACCGCTCGCTTCACCTCCTACATTCGACTCTGCTCTCCAAGCCTCATTTTGATACACAGACACATCCTAGTTTATACTTCCTAATTCTATAGACTGGGCTGCTGCTGGACGGCTGGTTGTCTCACCTGGATCCTAAACACACCACACAATGAGTCTTTTTTTAACTATTTATCTTGTAAGTGCACTTTATCTATTGTTCACTGATAAATTGTCTATACTGCACTTAGAGGTGCCTTCCTCTCTTTTTCATGTTTACTGCATTAGAGCCTTGCTTCCACTCTAAAAAGAGCCGCCTCAATGTAACTGCTCCCATCCATCAATCCCTGATATTCATCTGGCACCTTTATCCTACAGCTGCAGAGGTTGGGCTCTAACAAGCACGCCCAATATAACATACATACACTAAAGATGTGCCTACACATATTTCCCAAAATGTGAAGTGTGCACTGTTATGGAATCATCGAGAACCCTCCACCGCATTCAGCAGTAGGGTTTCTCCTCCAGCCTCTCCCCCTCACCCATTCATTTTTTGCATCTCAGTGGGACCATGGACTAACTAGAGGACAAAATTGTCGCCAACATTATGGCCTGTCCTTTGCAACTCCCCTGATGTTGTTGGTCTATGTGTAGGCAACATAGAAATGCAATTGGCTCTCTACACTGATGACCTTTCCTTTTCCTAAAAGACTCTTGTTCCAAGCAATGTTACACATTCTTAAT